ATACGTCGCACACAAGTAATCGTTTGACTAGTTTGTAACGCGTGTTTAAATCGCCTCTTGTAATCCACGCAAGCCGGAATGTATTACGAACGCATGCATACACACACGCACACCGCGTAGATAAATTACACGTATGCGTATTACCAACCAGTTTCCGTTACAGTAACCGTTGGGAAATCAGAAAATTATAGCAATTTTAGCAAGAATTAGCAAGAGAAAGAATAAAAAATACAAGCTTTATATTGTGCAAAGATTTTATTAGCGCATCAAAGAATTGGTCTTTTTCAAACTCGATTCAAGTAGAACCAGATCCCGTTCACAATGAATTAAAGGAGAAATCGTACAAATAAGCATACAAATATCAAAGTAAATCCGTGTCATTCACGCAATAAAGTGAGAAAGCATAAGAAGTATCTAATGAAAGAAATACGCAAACATTGAAAAAAGAGTCTGGTTACATTAATTGAAATTCTGGTTGAAAAAGGACAAATTAGAATTTTCTGGTTGAATCTATAATCCTAATTAAAATAACTATAATTCTGATTGATACGATTAGAATTTTCTGGTTAGTACATTTTCAACCACACATAGAAAAATATCATTCTATTGCTACGAAAAGTGATTACTTAATTTACTTTCTTTGTTTTAAGTAACGCGATTATCTTCAACAAAGAATATTTTCTTGATAATGATCTTAAAATATACTTATTATAAATTTGAGAAGAAACTCATTATTATGTATTCAAAATAAGAACTCATTTCCTTTTGAACAACATAAAATTGATCCAAGAAGTGACTTTATATAATCAGCAAATCAATTTGTTTTAATTTAATAATCTTGACTGAAGTATTAAACTTACTATAATATAATAAATTTGATGCTTGTGATGAACTTACTATAGATTCCGGAATATATGAACTTTTGAAATACTTGAACCAAGTAATTATTATTCTCGGCGAAGTATTAATGAACGCAATAATGTAATATTTAATATCGTAAAATGAAACTAATATACGTACAATTTCGAATTATGCTTCACAAAAGTTAACGTACATTTATGTCGTCCAGCACGTGCACATGCGTACCGTCGCGAGTGATGCGAGCTTTTACGGGTATATGCGAGGCGGAAGTCAGGTGGGGGATCGCGTACGGACGATAAATTATAATTAGAATCGAGCCGAATGTGACAATCTCTGGCGCCCGTGAATCATGTATTAACCCAGTCGCTAATGGGTATTAACTGTGAGCCGTTTAAAATTACAACTCCTCGACTCTCTCCCTCTGTATACTCGTCGCGGCGGACGAGATAGCGAAGCGGAACGCTTTATCCTGGTATACAGCAACCGTTCGGTAGCAGCGGTTCGACGCTTCCGGGATCGCTTTCCACGCTGCACTTACGATACTTGCAGATTTAATTAGCGCGGAATTCCTTGACAAATAAACCGCAATAGCAGCTGTGTGTGATATGCGCGTACATACATATAGATAGAATTCATCGTACATTCGACGTCATTTGCATTTTATATTTGAATTAACAATTTGATACAAGTATAAAAGAACTTCAAATAAAGTTGTTATATGTATCATAAATTTGAATATTTTTGCATTATTTATACATCAAGATCTAATTAATTAATTCTACTTATTATATATTTTTAATTCAACTTGACAAAGGCGAAATGTACAGCATTATTGATACTGTCGCGAATTCTCAAATGTTATTAAATTTTAGTATTATTTGGTGGCGGAGAAAATAAATTATCTTAAGTTATCTAAAATTACAAATTGATCGCAATTTTCAAAGACTCGTTCGGACATATCGGCAATTCGGGTATATCACCAACATCAATACTTACGACACGAAATACCAGGGAATTTAATTAACGAAAAATGCTTTGACTGGCGAATCACAAAGTTCATAGCGAACTGAACGAATAAAAGAAATGATTTTTCTTCCCTGACTTTACGCAATATGACAGAATAGCTCGTAAAAGCGGGACTTCAAAGAAATTAATAAAAAGAGAACGCGTCTAGGAAAAGAGGTAATAGTATTTAAAAATTATATAAATATCGCCATATCTAAACAAACTCAATTTACTCATCGGTAATGTCGCGAAGATTTCTTTTTTACTTTGTTTCTTCATTTGCATTTCGCTTACTGCGAGTTAAAATCCAATTTTAGCCTCCATCCGGATGAAATTACGAATGCGCAACCTTTTAACAGAGCTAAAAAGAAGCGCGATACTTGCGATTTAATTAAATCATGAAATATGACGACTGAGCGGTGGCAATTAAGTACCCTTTTAGAGGACTTACTGATACCAATTTACTCTTTCACGTCGTACGTCGCGAACACTTATCCCGCATCCCGAGACGCATTTTATCCCGTTGGCCGCACATGTCGCTTCCGGGACTACAGTTTACATTATGGTACTTCGAGATTTAATTAACGAGCACATCGACCGCAAGTGTTCATTGAACATCAAACCAGATTGTCTTGTGTTTCGATCATACGCGATTGATGTATTAAGATACGATGAGCGGTCGAAAAAAAAATGAACCAAGTACCGGTCGAAATACGATTTAATTAGATTGTAGCTTTGATACACGAATGGTCGCGTTCATCATACATTACAATCTTGCAATTTTCAACGTGTCAAATATCTTAATAATTAACACAGTCTTTCGTAAATTAATTATAAATACATTTATATTTAACCTCTTTTTAGTCTCGTTAGTTAAGATGTCCAATTTCTCTTTAATTTGATTAAAGAATAATAACTTCTAAATTTGTATATTTTTTAAATTTAATAAAATAAAATAAAATAAAATAATTAGCTGGACCAGTCGTAATAATATCCATTTGTTAGCATTATTTACGCGATTCACCTTATACAATTTGTGTAATTTTATTCTAAATCATGTCCTACAAAAATTGTACAAGGCAATACGAAAAAAATTTTTCGTTGTATTTTTTTTCTCTCGTATTTCACTCATCCAACTCGACATTAGTTACGGCCGAGTTAATTTTATTATTATAACGACGAACACATTGCTAACGACGAACACACGTGAGTAAGAGCGCGTAATTCCGGTCCGAAATATTAATAATGGTATTGTGAGCTTCAAATCTGAATTTCGAGAACATTGTCCGTGCGTTCACGACCAACGTCGCGCGTTGTCGTCTACGCGTAAATTATGCACAAACCGTGATCATTAAAAATTTATTAAACACGGTTGCAGCGTTCTCGAGGCTCAAAGAACATTATCATGCGCGCTTTGCAAGTCGCGCGCTAGTCGCTCATTACAGAAGACAATTACGTTGTCTTCCTGTTCTTTTCACCAAGACGGACAAGACAGAAAAAAAAGATGGAGCAACGGATGGTATAATGGTGACATCGCAAGTCATAAAATAACTGTCGTGTGGCACTTGCAATTTGAGTAATTTTTCACATATATTGTCGCACGCATCGATAATGAAAAGGTCGAGGACCCCGAATGATAAATCGGTGCACACTCTAAACATTCAAAGCTCAACATATCGTAATAAAATCGCGCAATGTTTCGAAGCATACTGAACTCATTTAAAAATATAATCACTTCATTTTCCATGCGACCGAAACGTTCAATATAAACGTTTCTATAATACAGTTTTCATTAAAATTTTACCATGCGCAAGTCATAATATGAGAGCGGAGTAATTATATGTGTATTCATTATATTCCTGATGACCTGCAGAACCTAACAAAAATAATTTAGAGGAGGAGATTCGCACGTGAATGCGCGCGCTTTTATTATAATGACCCGATATAGTATACGCGTGTGCGTGATCGGCCGTCCTTTGACGCCGCCGCGTATCTCTATTAAATCAATATTTATAACGGCGTCGGACGCCCAAGCCGTGACATAATAACCCGACGTAATTTTAATTAGCATTATTGCGCAAGATGTTCGCCCGTATCGGAACATGCTTTTAACGAGGGTAGCTTATGAGTATCGAATTACTTTACGGAGATTAAAATCGCCGTCTAACGAGGTCGCCCGGTGGTATAAATCGCTGTCTTGAAGATTTTCACGCCGCGCGTGTCATAAGAGAAAATAGAAGAGGAAAAAAAAGAGTTGAAAGAATGATCATTAGTACGCATAACGACGAAAAAAAAAAACGGATAAGACGATCTCAAAACGGATATTAATCAGGGGATCAAAGGGAAGAGATAATGTGTACGCATATCTGGCGTGCTCGTTAGAGACGAGAGACGATTATTTCACTTATTCATCTTGGCGAAAATGTAGGAAATAATGGAGAACGACGACGCAAGCGACGAGCGAGCGTGCGTGACTCTTTTACAGGTATAGTTTAACTCTTTGACCACAAAGAATATTAGACTCCACTCCCTCCGGGCAAACTGTAATCTTTGATTACGTAATACGATACAATATCGTAAACGTACGTACGTAAGAAATGAGAATCTGCGTCGGAATATTGCAGAAATGAAGACCTTTGCAATTAATGCATACTAAGCAATTAAAAGCGAATAATACGCGAACGAGGAAAGAAGACTCGCAAAATTGCAAAAGTAATGTAAAGATCCGCGTAAATCTTTTCACGTATTTTTTAATTAACATTTTTCTCTCTCTTTCTTTCTCTCAGCAAACATAAGTACAAAATGTAAAAATTTACAGACTAAACGGAAGGTATTCCTAAGTTTAGTATACCTATATTATATAAATTTTAATATCCGAAACTCAGCAACCATAATAGACGCAACAAATTATCCTATAATGAAAGATTGCAGGTAAAAGAGTTAAGGAAAATAACAACATGGATTAATAACGCATTGTAGTCGTCGTCTGTATTCGCGCGCATAAATGACTTCGTTAAAAATTTATTAATCACGACCGAGAATGCGAAGATCAAAGAGCAAAGTACGTAGTATGCATGCGCATTATTCGGCGCATGCCGTGCTCGTTACGAGGTAGGATAATTCGATCTACTCACCTCCACGAGGGTGATGAGGATGATGAAGAGAGGTGGTGGGCAGCATGTATAGTGATCGGCGTAGTATTTTCGGTCCCGCTCCTCCGTGAGGAATTCATCGCCGATCATGCGGACCATCCTGAAAGCACAAACACAAATCGCAATATAGTTTAAAATTTAAAAACATATACAACGATATTTGCACGCGTTAAATTACAAAATGTGAATATAAAACTATATCTATATATTCTATTTAGTATATAGCGTACCTTCCCCCTTTTCCTTCCTTTTTTTTTAAATAAATGAGCTGTTATCTAATTCGAATTACTAAACAATTCTGATAAATTTTGTATGCATTATAATAAAAATAGAATATGTGCATATCAAAGAATGGTAACTGCTTGTGTGTAAATGCGTGTAAATCGAATTTATTCACATTACTGCGGGAAGCATCTACTAAATATAATATGTAATTTTCCATTAATCGGTTCATTATACCGTGTAAAAATATCATGCATAACTATAATTATTATATATTAGCAAATAAAATATTCCCTTGTCGGTAAATGTATTTTAAAGATGAAATTCATAATAGCATTTTATGTACACTATTTCTGTGCGCCAATATAAACGCAATCGAATATTTTCAATTAAACTTTACCATAGTATTTCATTTCAGAAGAATTCAACACGAAAAAATAACCTGCAGCGCGCGCAATCGAATCTTTTGAGCCAAACTTCGCGAAACGACTTCGTTTGCGTGTGTTGGACATAAAAAAAAATATAAAACAACCAATCAATAAATTGAATGTAAACGCGGTTATATTCCCACAAAGTAATCTATATAGTATTTATCTAAAACGCACAACCGACATTTACTTCAATAATTTTTGTTCTTCTGAAAAGTTTTTTAATTGAACGAGAGCAGTAGTTACAACGTGTTTGATTACACCGCGCGAAATACAATGATTCGAAAAAAAATCCAGCCGTTCTTTTGTGAGACATTAATAACCAGACGATTTAGTGAGAATATTCGACAGATACCTAAATTCAAGATCCAAAAATAATTGTTCATATCCAGAAAAATGTTTTCATTAATTTAGATTATTATATTGTTCCGATTGGTAATAACTCGGTACAATAGCACAGAGTGAACAACAAAGTTATCATTTTGAACGTTATTATTTTGAAAAGCGTCTTTTCGTTGATAACAGCGTCGGCTGCCTCGTAGCGCTATTGTTGCTACAATTTCATGTTGCATCTATCAACGGATGAATACTCGGAGTTAGAATGCGCATGTAATCGGTAAACGCTACAGTAACAAGCTATATTCAGGCAATTAAAAGAACAAAAAATTTTTTCCCCATCTCTAAAACACTCGTCGGATACGTATCCGCAGACAACTAAAATTTGTAAGATAATCGAGTTTAATTAATGAGAATGTAATTGGAGGTTATATATTTATGAAGCTATTTCTAGAACGGACAGGTGAAAAGTATAAACATGGAAAACTTAATTGCGCGTACAAACAGACAAATATCACGAAGAAAAAGCGTGTAATTGTGCTTAAAAGTAATGTAGATGAAACAAAATGACAAAAATGATGCGCCGCAAACGTTAAAGAGAAAATTTACCTAATTTATAATTTGCTTCGTGAAAATTAAAATTTTGTAGGAATATTATTATTATTTTATATTATTAATATTTATAATATTAATAAATAAAAGAAGGGCTACGAGCTAGTTACAATATAAAGAATATTTAATATTCGTACAAACGTTTCGGTTCATTTTCAATGTAAACACAAATAACATTACATAAATTGTCGGAGTATTCGGTCAGATTACAGTATCCAGTAAAACATATCAGTTATTTCCGTATTCCCTATTATTTGATGTGTATGGTCCATATGTAAAATTAGCATTATTTGATTGATGTAAAAAGATCTCATCTTATTTAAAAAAAAAAAAAATGGACAATCTTACAAATAATTCAAAATAATAGACTGACATTACGTTACAGTTTAAATTAAATTATCAAGTATATATATTTTATAGTAGTTTAGTACCAATTAAGTTACATAGATACATATACCTTGATTTGTCGTAATGATATAAGTCAGACGTTGAGAGAAAAACGCAAAATTAACTAAGTCATATATAGTAGGTAAAGGTAAGCCATGATACGATATATTGGAGAGAACACATGTATCCTCGACTATGTCAGGCGACGTTATGATAAAAAGGAAACAAGGAAACAAAGAAAAGACGATAATTGGAAGGGGACAGAGGACAATGTTAAGAAGGGGAAAGAGATTGGATAATATTAAGATATGATTCTGGCAGAGAATCTGTATCATTTTGTTTGTTTATCCCATGTTTTTGTCTTTTAATGTGAACCATCTCCGATATTAGTATTTACATTGAAAATGACCCGATCGGCGAAACATTTGTACGAATATTAAATATTCTTTATATTGTAACTGGCTCGTAGCCCTTCTTTTATTTATTGATTTATTCTGATTGAGCCATATTAATAATTTATTTATAATATTGTTTAATAATTATAGTATATTATAATACATAAAATATAGCTATCAGATTCATACGAGTTCAAAGCTGAGATTCGAGACAGGATTTTATTTAAGCGATCACGTAGAAAATGGGGCTACACTTTTTACATAAGACTCCATAACTTGAAAAATAATCCGCAGGAAATCTTCCGGAGAGTATTCTGAAACTAATCGCCAGCCTTCTGTAACAATTTTAGTCTTACGAGGCGCCCCGTTAATCGTCGCCAGGGGTAGCGAAATAATGAGGAATTAACTTCGGCGAACCTCCTTTGCTTGATCGATCTCCGAAGAAAAGAAAAATACTCTCGCGAACAATTACGCGCAAACTCTCAGCTACCTATAGCCTTCATTATCCTACAGTATTCTTTTCCCCTCATTTACGACTTTCGTTACGAATGAACGCCTAGCGGAAACATTGTCGGAAAATTCTTTCTAAAGAATAGCAATAAGAGACGATGAAAGATTCCTTGCATACAAATGTTAGTTATTCCCCGACAGTTGCTTCAATTCTCAATTTTTTATAGTGTCATCAAATCGCTTTGGACTTGAATTTTTCCAGAATAAGTTTCTTACATATAAAAGATTCCATAAAACTATTACCTACGCGAAATACACTGTTAAATTCATAATGTAAAATTATACTTAATTTGAGTTATTTTTAATCATTTCTATAGGTCGCCACTGTTTCTACTCAATACATCGTTAATTTGACTAAAACAATGAAATTAAACAATTAAATAACTCAAATAACTCAAGAAAATATATTCGATTCAAATTTAATTTATTATTTATTAAGTGTATGCATTAGTGTCGTTTACTTTGGAACTAATCGCAAAAATGGACTAATTTACATTTTGACACACATGGAAATTAAAAATAACAAAATGTTATTTGACTCGATTAAGTCACCCATATTTCTGATTCTGGCAGTGTAATAAATAGATACATGACACAGAAAATCATTTTTTCGAATTGCTGTAATCATGATAATTATAAATTCTTAAGGTTTCGCGTGTCAAAATAAAAAATTCAAAAAGTTACAAGTTTCTTTGAACTTAAGTACTATTCATTTTCTTCGCTTTTTTTGTTCCGATCGTGACGACGACAATGAACGACGATGGAGTGGATAAAATAATGCACGAGACGAGACCGTCGGTTAAGCATACAAACGACACTGATAAATCGACTACGCTGATCGCGGATCGTGGAAAAAATCCGATATCACGTACGAGGATGGTAATAAAAAACACAATCTAAATTCGGACGTGGCGCGAAGGGAGGGCGGCCTGACGATCTGGGAGGAAAGTGGCGCGGGCGGTACGGTGTAAGCCCCCTTATACCTGGCTTCTCTCCGCGATGCTATCTCTCCCGTTACGTAGGAGCGTAGAATAATTACGAAGAAATATTGGCCCGTAACTCAGTCCACTATCCATAATATCTGCAACGTTTATGGCGCCAGGGAGATAAACCATTCTCCCGTCTCCCGCTATCTGGTGGCGCGTGCGCCACCGCTGCGACCGCACCACCACCGTTTCAGTTTGCTTCCCGGTTGGTTTCGAGATGCACGTGCGGATGGTGAATACTTGTACACGCTAAGTACTTACAGCACATGCACTTACGTAACGACCGGCGCGCGAGTATCGCGATCGGATTGATCAGCGATTAATCGAAGCACGAGCATTCGATTTCATTTTGCCTGAAGACGAGTTAAAGGGGGGGGGGGAGGAAACACCTTTCACGCGATTTAAACGCTTGTAAAATTAACTTCAAATTAAAGCTTCATGAATTTTAATTTGTTTAATTAGCTGTAAAATTACCGTCAACTTCCAATGAATTAAGTTGTTGACAGTATAATTAAATTTATTTGATAATATTAAAGTATTGCAATGTGTCTGCATATGAAGTAAAATTATATAATGAATACTTTACATTTTATATCTGATATTTTTATGCAAATATTATAACAATAAGCGATAATGTTATAACATCAACCCTTTTGTTTTTTTAATACTCGATATGATATAACAAATAATAATATAACATATAAAAATGAGAATTTTCAATTTATTTTCAATAAGAAACGGCAGGAAGAAAGATTTATCTGTTAAATTTATAATGTATTATATAATTTAAATAAAAAAATCTCATCTTGTCGACTTGTTTATGTCGACTTTATTTTGCCAATTTCTACATACTAATTTTACTACGCTGATAAAATGTTAATATATTCCATGGCAGTTGTATATCATGGATGTGAATTACAAACGCTGTAAAAAAGTAAGCATAAAATATATAAAACATCGGACACATATGTTTACATCGTCATATTATTCAAGCCCTAGTAAACATTCATTACAAACAGTTTCAGCTAATGGAAATCTGTGCTTGTAATGAGCACATTTTATTTTCATATAATCGTGACATCCACGCCAATTAAAAAGCATCAGCGCGGAAATCTATTCTGCGTGACACGCGTATCATAAGGTACATGTATCGCATCCTGTCCTTTTTGAAGGGAAATATGTATATTTATATTTATATTTATACGTATATATAATATATAATAC